CAACATCTAAACGCATTCTACTCACAACTGGACCTGTCTATGGGCAAAAACTCAACCCGAAATATCGTCATTCTATTTGTTGGTAAATACCACGCCATAGGCTGAAATTCCAGTAAAATCCCTATAACTCTGAACAGAAAGCCTAACTGCCGTTATCCTTTTCAGGTTTTTCATACCTCATTGGGGTCTACCTTATGCACAGGATCCGAACTCAAAAGCGATTGAACAGTTGGGGACCTTCCCTCGTTAGTATAAATAAAGTTTTGAATGGGACTGAATTATTCTGAAGTTATCAGATTTTCTAGCATCTTCTATTCAGAAATATAAACACAAGAAGCAAGGCAACCATAGGGTTTTCACTACGAAATGGGATCTGAAAAGACTTGTAGATAAAAATTTCTTCTATATAATGGTGCATGAATTATCAAGCCTAATGTGTATTTTGAGATACTGATAAATGGTATCTCATTTGTCGCATTCGAAGTAATTACGGCGATGAAAGTATCACCTACCGATGGCTCAACAGTACTCAGGAGCACTTGATAATACATACACCGAGAGATAAAATAAATAGTTCTCTGCAAGCCTACATCTATTCCGTTCTGTAGTCAAAATCGTATATTCGTCTTTGCTCGTATACTTATATGCCTGAATAATAGATACTAGGAAATCGGACAGTTTCAAAATGAACTAGTTCCATTGAGAACTTGTTTTGTAAAAACCTTGAGGTCGAACATCGATTTTGAAAGTAATCATAAATGCAGTAGAAAGACGTATGAATACAAATTACGGTTCAAAATCAATATATCATTTGGCGAGATTTTCTCATAAGAGAAGTTGATTATTATTTAAAATTTGATTCAATGCGACGTAACTCTGACTATGAGTACTTGACAAGGAATATTTTTGTTTTATTGTAGCCATTGTTCAAAACGATGAGATTAAAGACGAAATTATTAATGATGATGATGGTATACCATTATTAGCAAGATGTGCATATGAAAAAAATTTAGATATCGAAACAATTCAACGACCAGCTCTTCGAATTATTGATGCAGTTTCATTTCGAAAGGATTCAGCTGTGAAACAGATAAAAGAAAATGATCCTCTAATGAACCATGTTAAAGATTTATGCGATAAAAATGATAAATATCAAGGAGCAATAGCTCATCGTATTCTATGGAAAGTAGAAGAAGAAAATGAATTTATTTCGAAACAAGAACAAATAAAAAAACAAAATCAAATCAAAATAAAAAAAAATTTTGATGAAAAAAAAGCTGTTTATCAATATGTTCCAGGTGATCATCATTTTGATTTAACAGATCAGAAAAATTCAGAAAAATTTGATCTTATGATTAGTTATTATCAAGATGATAAAGAAATCTGTCTTAAAATTTATAATCGTTTAATAGAATCAGATTTTTATCGAGTTTTATTTGATAAAGATAATTTACACAGTTCCAATCCAAAGATTATGGCACAAGCAGTTGAAAAATCATCTGTTATTCTTATGTGTTTTTCAACTAAATATAGAAATTCATATGCATGTCGATTAGAAGTTGAATATGCTAAGAAACGACAACGACCAATTATTCCAATAAAAATCGATCATCAATATGATCCAACAGGATGGTTAGAAGAAATTATTAAGAACGAAAAATATATTGACTTTTCAAAATATGAATTTACTGCTATGTATGCTCAATTAATTGACGAAATCCATGTAGTCAATGAAAGTATCAATAAAAAATAATTATTGTAACTATAACCATGTTTGTTTTTTTTATTTTTTTATTTTTACATCAATCAATAATATTAGTCGCACTCATTATAATTTGTATGTTTAAATTTAAAGACTTAGATTCATAGAACAAATGTTCAAACAATTTTATTTTTGTATTATCTCGAGAATAAATACTTTCGAATTTAAATGTTTTTACAAGAGAATTAAAAGAAGTTCAATTAGAATGATTTATTGAAAAGAATCTTCTTCTGAAATATAATATACCGGAATCAAGAAATACGGGCTTTTTCCAGCTGAAAAACTCTAGAGAATCGTAAAGACTTGAAAGTAGGAATTCAATGGTCAGCTCTCATTGGTTACGATAGAAGAAACCTGCGACTTTTCGGTATTTTTCTGCCGAAAATTCAAGAATCTAGGCGCCGGAATGATTGACCTAGATATTAATAATTTAACATTTTGTTTGTACTGCAAGAGATATTAAAATAAATTAGAGTAAAAATTTAATAAACTGTAGTTTTACTAATTTTAATAAGAAAATATTTAATTATAGATATAAATATAAAAAATTTTGTTTTACTACTTTCACTACATTCATTAAACTTTTCCAGGAAAACAAAGTAAGTTAAAATTAAAAACAAAATTTACATTCTAAAATACTTATTTGTTTGAATAGATATACAATGGCACAGAAGAATACGAAATCCAACACAACGACATCATTGAAACAAACAAGTACAACACCCAAATCGACAAGCGCACAATCTTCAGTTAAAAATATTCAATCTCAAGAACAATCAATGGTCAAGACTACATCAATCGAATATCCAAAAAATATTATTGAGAATTATATTATTATTTGGTTAAATCCTAATCTTGATTTGTCGAATGAAGAAAACAAAGAATTAATTAGTCAACTCCGATCTATCGTTAACACTACTATAACATTGACTGATATTGATCAATGTGTTAAATTTCTCAAACAAATCAAAAATGAAAAAGTCTTTTTAATCATTTCTGATTGTTTCATTAAACAGATTGCTTTACTCGAAGAAGAATTTACTCAACTCAATTCAATCTATATATTTTGTGATCAAAAATTAAAATTTGATGAAATCATCAAAGCATACAAAAAAGGAAAAGGTGTTTTTACTCAAATGAAACTTCTTTGTATTGAACTGAAAAAAGAAGTTCGTCAATTAAATAATGATTTGATACCAACTAGTATTATTTCTGTACCATCGACTACTAATTTCAATGAACTTGATCCATCATTTATGTATTGTCAATTACTTAAAGAAAATTTTCTAACAACACAGAATAATATTGAAAGTTCAGTTCAAGAACTCGTGGAATTTTGCCGTACTAATTACGAGGAGAATAATGGTGAGAGAGAACTAGTTGAAAAATTTGAACAAAAATATATTGAAATATCACCAATCTCATGGTACACACAGCAAAGTTTTGCATACAAGATGCTCAACAAAGCTCTAAGAACACTTGATATTAAAACTATTATGAAAATGGACTTCTTTATTCGAGATCTTCATAGGGACATAGAATTATACCATTCGAAATTGAACATTAATCTATGTCCGTTCAAAGTCTATCGAGGACAAGGCTTGCCAAATGAGGCGTTTGACCAGCTAAAGAAAAACAAAGATGGTCTTATAGCTTTCAATAGTTTTCTTTCCACGACGATCGATAAATCTGTTGCTCTGAACTTTGCTCGTAATAGTCAATGTTATACCAATACAACAAGTATTCTGTATGAAATGAAAATTGATCCATCTATTTCATCGATTCCTTTTGCTTCAGTGAGTCACCTAAGTGCATATCCTCAAGAAAAAGAATATCTTTTCTCAATATGTACAGTCTTTCGAATCGATAATATCGAAAGACACGATGAACATCTATGGACAATAAAATTGACATTGACAAATGATAAAGATCCATTACTTAAACGTCTTACTGATCATTTGCGAATTTCACTTGGTGATGGAAGTGGAACGCGTCGACTAGGTCAATTAATGATAAAGATGGGTCAATTTGATAAAGCTTTAGAGATTTATAAAATATTACTCAAAACTGTTGATCCTGATGACAAAAAAGAAACGACTTTTCTTCATAATCAATTAGGATATGCTTGGAAACAAAAAGGTGAATTAAAAGAAGCATTTTCTCATTACGAAGAATCTCTTAAGATAAGTCGAACTTATATGTCAGATATTGATCATCGACTCTCTAGTACATATTCGAATATTGGTGGAATTCTTAAAAAACTAGGTGATTGTAACGGAGCATTGAAATTTTATGAACTTGTTCTTAAGATCGATCTTGCTGCTCCAAAACCTAATCCATTAGAAATTGCTATTGATTACAATAATATTGGTTCAGTGCTTGATGATCAAGGAAAATATGCTGACGCACTTAAAAGTTATGAACAAGCATTAGAAATTAAATTAACTCATCTTCCACCTCATCATCCATCATTAGCTGGTACTTATAGTAACATTGGTTTAATACATCGAAAAATGGGTGATTGTTCAACTGCATTGTCATCCTATCATAAAACGCTTGAAATTCAACAAAAGTCTTTACCACCTAATCATCCATCATTAGTTGTCACTCATGGAAAACTGGCTATAGCATTGGAAGATCTTCATCGATATGAAGAAGCTATTGAACATGCTCAAAAAGCTGTTAATGTCGCTGCTGTTGCATTCGGACCTTCACACCCAGAAGTGGAAAAACGACAACAATATCTCGATAAACTTCAACAAGAAAAGAAGGTGGTCACTAAGCAATGAAATCAATTTCTTTCCAAAATTGAGCTTATTATTTTTTTTCAATAGTCAATTTAGACATTAGAAATCAATTGCCATTCGAATTAGATCGTTAGACTTCATTTTTTTGCGTGTGATTGACTAAAAAACTCAATATTATCGATCTCCTATTACGTTATACTATGCAATGTTTACATGGAACATTCATTTTCCTTGTTCGACTTCTTTAGTTTGACTTATATATAAAATGAAAGCTTTTTTCATTTTTCTTTTAGATGACGTTGTTCATTCTTACATATAGTATGAGGACAGCCATGGAAAGTCCCCTCCTATTGAGCTGAGAAATCAGTGATCCACTTTGGATTATAGTTGTACAGGCAAACTGACGTTTTGACTGACTTTATTTTTCGATGTAACTTTGAGAAGGAGGACTAGGGACTAGATTTTTGAAGGAAAATGAAAGCTGATCGATCATTTTGTCGCATACATAGATCAAATCTATTTTGCATGCTTATTTCAAATATATCATTTTTTAAATAGAAATTCTAACTATTCTGGTCAAATATCAGTCAAAACGAGTAACTTTTGGCACATGACCTTTCATTTAGTATATTACTCAAATTAAAAGAACTAAAAATTAAAAAAAATCTTCATATGATGGTCCTATTGAAGATAGATAATATTGAGTTTTAAGTCAGCCATGGTCAGTTGAAATGAGGGCTAACTGGGCTAATTCAAAAGAGCAATTGACTCTTGATATCTGAACTGTCTATTTGAAGAATAAGAAACTCGATTTGGAGAATAGGTTGATTTCGTCGCTTTTCGATCTCCAGTGTTCTTTGATCTTTATTAATAAAACATCGATGTCAAAATTTTTCACAAATTCATATTGCTTTCTTTGTTTAAGAAATACAAGATCTCTTAGAGGATTGACAACTTTTATATTATCATAATCAAGTGTATCCAAGATTCAGAATGTAATTGACATTGGTTTATTCGTGTGTTTGATGATATATGCACTATTATTGATGGACTAAAATCCCATGTCGTTACTTTTTTAAAAGATGCCACCGATTAATGATAGATTCATGAAAATTACTGCTGGTCAACTAAGGTTAACCGGTAGTGTTGTAGCTTAAGTTATAGAATCACAAATGTTATATATCGAACACAAAGAAATAAATTTTCTGATAGTTGTTTCTGCAAAAAAAATATTTGATTATTCGATTGAACGTTATTTTGTGTCGTTCTCTATTCTGATTGTAGAATAGATGAGTAGAATATAATAATATCTTGTGTAAAATACTGGCATATTGTAACATTATTCTAAACTATTAAGGCTAACTATTATTTGTATATATTCTGGTCTTTATTTCGCGATCGAGTTGTTAATTCGAAAAAAATTCTTAGCTAATTTATATGATATATTATAGTCAATGAAAAAATGATACATTTTATTTTATTTTTACGGCACAGATGAATATCATTAGTAGTTTGTTGTCTTTTCTATTTTATAAGATCTATTTTCTCGTGCTTCTTATTCAAAACATCTATAATTTGACCCAAAATCATCGTGACAAGATGTTGATGAACTCATTTTTTGTTGCATCTTCTCGCTAAAACTATTTTTTCTGTTTTTTTCCTACAATTTTTTTTTAATGTAATATGTGGAAAATATCAATAAAATATTATCAAAAACTTACAATAATATAGATGGTTATATAGAAGCTGATATAGGTCATAATAGGTAGATAACGTTGGTCTCGATCGTGTGAGTTAAAATTAATAAACCATTTTTTTTTCTGATTTTTACACAAAATCCCTATTTTCCATGCGACAATGATGTTATTTGTTTAAATGTTGAACTGTTTATCAGCGACATCTTTTCATTTATTAATCTATGACGCAGTGACTGCCTGACTGATGAGTTGTATTATGAATGGAGCATTACATGAATCTATCAAATGAATTTTATGACAAGAAAGAAATACTCAGATATGCGGAATTCTCAAATCGATGTTTTCTCTTAGCTTGTAGAAAAGAAAAGTCTTCTTTTTTTGTCCTTGATATTGTCGATGAGCATCGTACCTGGTGAAGAAACTACAACAACAGCAACTGTAATTCCTATTGAAGATTCTTCGAAACAACAGCAAACTCAAATGGTTGATAATAGTTTTTTATCGAATAATTTAAACGATCGAATCGATGTTGCTCGTGTTCGATATCCTCATTGTATTGTTTGGACGCCAATACCAGTTTTAAGTTGGCTTTTTCCATTTGTTGGTCATATGGGTATTGCTCGTACAGATGGTGTCATTCGAGATTTTGCTGGACCCTATTATGTTTCAGTTAGTAGCAGTAATAAAACGTGTTTTGGTTTTTTGACATTTACATTATGAATTTAATATATAGGAAGATGATATGGCTTTTGGTTTACCAACACGATATATTCAGCTTGATTTAAATCATGTTTCAACAACAACTAATACAAATAATGTACGATCTATTTGGGATAAAGCTGTTGAACAAGCATCAGATGAATATAAAAAACGCATGGTAATTTATTAGATTTCTTTTTTTGATTTATTGAATATCTTGTTTTTTTTTTTTTTTTTTTTATTTAGCATAATTTATGTTGTGATAATTGTCATTCACATGTAGCTTTGGCATTAAATACAATGGGTTATGATCGAAAATATTCATATAATATGATTTCACTTGCATGTTGGATGCTTTTCTGTGGAAAATTCGTCAAGTATTTAAATTATAAACATTTATTTCTTCTTCATTTTTTTTTAATATGTTTTTAGTTTTATTGGTTTTCTTCGTTCTTGGATACCATTTCTTATTATCATAGCTATTATTGTTACTATCGTTGTCATTGTAAAACTGCAAACATAATATCAAAATCGATAAACAAATTAATTTATGAACATTTTTCTGTTTATGTTTTTTTCTTTTCTGATTCGAAATCTTTTAAATATATTTCACAACAAAAAAATAATATAGAAATAAATTTATGGTAATAGTCGACTATATTATCTCGTAAAAAAAAACAATTTCTATTAATAGCAAAAAAGCGAATATAATTTACTCTATAAACACAATGATATTATGCTCATCAGAATTCTTCTAATTATGCATAATCTTACTACTCGAGATAGAAATAGAAATTATGATTAAGAGTATTTTGAAAGTTATTTTTGAAAAAAAATTCAAACTATTGATTTTTAAATCTTAAACGACGTATTGCAAAATGAAACAAAAAAAAAAATAAAATTCTGCATGTGGTAACTCTGAAAATATGACTTGTTGACTGATCAGAATCGATTTTATTGTGATGCATCGGTATTTATCATTAAAATTTGATATATGTTAGAAAGCAAGTTACTTAATAGATAGAGTTAGCACAATGAGATGAATGATCTTTCTTCATTCATGAAGATCTTTTCGCTTTTGATGAGTTAAACGATCGAAAGATAAATAGTAGAGACTGCATGAATGAATTGAAAAAGAACGACGACCAAAATATACATTTTATCGTTGAATACATATAAAGAAAGCTTATTAGTAGTATTTTCCCATCGGTGAATTCAGCAAGATGCCTTTGTTATAATAAAAACTCATACTTCTTATTCTTTCCGATTGTTACCTTTTTATTTCCTTTGGGATCTTTTTTGTAACATTTAGTATTCTTTTATTACCGCATTGGTATCGATATTATTTTCTTTTCCTTAATCACGTCTTTCTATTCTTTTGAAAATTGTTGCATTCTCAATACTTTCCCTTTTTGCTTTATGAATAATCTCTAAAATTAATAAATAATTCTTTGAGATTAACAACAATCACATGAGAAAGTACAATATTTATGTTAATATTCCGTTGAACAATATCTACAAGAAAAATAGGATTCATTAAAAATTTTTGTAGATGGAGTTGGCTTGCCCCTTGGCGTTGTAGCTGAGAGGCTATTGTAAAATTTTCAGTCCTATACCATAACGTTTTCGAATGATATTCAATAAACAAGGATCACAAATAACTCATTTGGCAATCCAAAATTCTCTCTAGATCTTTATTCCGTTCATATAATTTTTAGTTTCGTTTTAATTCTTAGTTTTTAGGTGGTAAAAAGTTCAATGTGCTTGAAAAGATCTAAAAAATGGCGTTCATTGACGATGAGGCAATACTAGAGGCAACAATAGAAGAAGTTTTAGAAATCGTTCATAAACTTAAAAAGAAAAAGTCTTGTGATCCACATGGAATCTCCAATTATTTCTTCAATTTTTTGCCTAGTAGTTATTGGTCTTTACTACTCAAAACATTCAATTATTCGTTTTCTACTGCGATTCAGCCTACTGCCTGGAAAGATGCACGAATGATCCTACTTGCAAAAAAAGAATTTATTTGTACACCAGCCGAGACTCGTCCGATATCATTGTTAGACGTTTTTATGAAAGTTAATGAGCGCCTGTTTACGAACCGTTTTCGAAAATTGTTGGAAAGACGTGGTCTTTTACGCGACTCACAATCCGGTTTCAGACCAGGTTTTCGCCTTCAAACGAGAGTCCTCCTCTTTATAGAACAAGTATCTTCTTTAATGTCGAATTCTTCTCCGGTCGCTAATGTTTTTATAGATTTCCAAAGCGCTTTCGATCGTATGTGGATACAAGGATGTTTAGCGAAATTAAGAAGAATGGGTATTCCTCGTTCTTACTTAAAATGGATTAGGTCGTGGTTAGAAAATAGGCGCGGTTTTATAGAAATTGAAGGAGCAAGATCCAGATGGTTTAGTATTAGAAGAGGAGGTCCTCAGGGTTCGTGTTTTACACCTACACTTTTTATTACTTTTCACTCAGACATGGGTGACTTTCTAGAGGTGTGCATTCCGTTCTTTTTTGCAGATGACCTTGCTGCAGTTCTAGCTGGCAGAATAGGGGTTAAGTATACCGAACAATGCATCGATTTAGAAAAAAGATTAAAACGTTTTTTTGATAATTTAGAACTATATTCTCTGTTACACCTCCAACCCATAAACTATTCTAAAACAATGAGCATGTGGTCAGCAAGAGCAGTTATAAATCCTCTACCTGGAGTTTCCTGCGGTGGAAATGATATTGGCTGGGTTAAAAACTTTAAATATTTAGGATACCACATCTCTGAAAAAATACGTTGGAGTATGATGATCAATAAAACGCAGGAAAAAATTAGACAGCGAATAAACATGATTAAATATTTTCGTTTTAATAATACAACTTCATACGAACTCCGAAGAGCTTTAT